GAGGAGATTTCGGCTTGGAAAGGCAAATGGCCGATGTCGTGACTTACAACCCATTCATCATTAATCCACTAGGACGAAAATTCGTATTTTTTATAATCTTGGGAGAGTTTTCTAACTTACAACTTCAGCCGCTCGACACACTGAAGAAAACCGAATCCAGACCTTTTTTCCATTCCATGCTTTTGGTACAAAAAAATTTCTTTGGTACCAAACAGGCCCCACATGGTCTCTGAGACTTGCGTTAGCACCAACGTCATTGTAACTAGCAGGAACTGGCATTTTTTGAAGATCAAGATAATCAATTGTGTTAAAATTGACTTTGAACCATTCCTCATTAAATCCTCTTAAAGGATCATTACTGTTTGTTAGTGCAAAATTCCACAAACCGTCCAAATTGAGCAAATCGCGTGTTTCGGAAGCTCGAGGGTAGAGAATTCCAGCAGAGTGGACATTTTCCAGAAAGTATAAGAGAAATATTGTAAATATCTTCATTTTCTGGAATTATATGAAAAGAATGAGCGAATCTTAAACTCATACTCACTGTGATTAGATCACAACGGTCATAATTTAACTGATGCCATTCATTTCACTTAAGCTCTATTTATTTATTAAGATGCACAATGGATCAATCTATCTTTGTTTTTGTTATGCATATACAACGTGTCTTTGAAATAAGTGCAATAATTTTAACTACGTGTAGAACTTGTCAAGGACAACAATATTTTATGTCCCATTTTTTCGAAATCGCAATAGTTATTAACTTAAAACTATAAATAATTTTTCTGTAAAATCTCGTACCCACCTATTGTGGCCAACCACCGCCGATAAAGCCACTAAACAAAGGTACACACAAAATAAAGTTGATTTGTTATTCGGTTGAAACAAATAATTAGTATTGTCTCTAGTTTTATTTGCAAACAACCACATTGTAAAATTGATTACAAATTTTGTTAGATTAAACTCCGAGCTTAATGTCTATTAATATTTATTATTTCAACAATAAAAATGAATTTATAGTTAAGTTTATTCTCGGAGAATTATTTTAAAAAATTACACAAATATATTGGTAAAAATTACCGCTTAGCTAGTATACTTTATGCAACACGGAAAAATAATAAAAGACATACTTTTTCGTGAATTGTAAACTGTTAATAACAATACCTCGAAAAATGCATACGTACACAATAATGTCCGACATTTATCACAAAATTTGGTAATTTTAATAAATAATTGTTGTAACTTGAGAAAACTCTTAAACAAATTCACTACTTTTAAGTGAACTGAACAATTAACAAAAGACAAATTGTCTCAAAAAATATTGATTTTGAAAAAATGGTACATAACAATTTTGTTGTCCTTGAGGAAATCTGTCACTAAAATTATTGCACTTATTTCAAAGACACCTTATATAATTTGTTGTTTAGATAAACAGATGTGTGTCAATCAGAATTATTGATTAGATAAAGTCAAGAGAAAGATTTGGCTTTTATTTGTACTGTTATTAAAAATTAAATAAAAAAGTCAAAAAATTAAAAAAGCAAAAACTGTAACTGTGTAACTGTCACATATTCTTTAATTTAAAATTTTGTGTGCAGAAAATTTGTTAATCAAGAGTTTTTACAATCTACAGCTCTTCTTTAGTTTTATCATCATCGACAACATATTCATTCAAGTCTTCAGGAACATCAGCGTTATCTAAAATTTGAGCCAAGGCCCAATACCGTCTTCTCAACAAATAAGCGCTTGCTTTAGGTTGTCGGTTTCGAGTAAAAATCCCTTTTTTATTTCCACCGACTCGGATAAATGCTACAAAACAAAGTTCTAGTTATGTCAACAACAAATAAAAAACATACTTTGATCTGTACTAAAATCGGCAAAATTCCAAATCATTTCACCAATCAAGAAATCTTCTTTTCTCAATTGGTCAAAGGCTTGGAAGTATTTACTGAGAAGTTCTTTTTGGAATTCTTCTGACCACATGACTGAAGGTAGCTACAATTATTTGTAATAATGACTGGAAAATATGCTTCAATAACTTACAGAATGTAAACTTTCCAAAGTATCTGCCCCATATTCTGTTATTATGACTGGAATATTATGCAGTTCGTTCCAGCGTCTTGCAATTTTTAATACTTGAGGCATTGCTACGTCAAAATCATTCGTATTAAAGTACCATCCATAATACAAATTACAGGACGCTATATCCAGAAATTGGCCAGAATGATCATCGTCTGGTAGTTGGAAATTGACAACAGTTACTGGTCGTGTGGTGTCCAAACTCTTAATATGAGCTGTTACCTCCTTGTAGTAGGCTTCTGATTCATTAAATTGCGTCCTAGGTTCGTTTGAAGCCGACCAAATTATCACAGCTGGTCTATTTTTGTCTCTTTGTATTAATTCAGTTAGTGATTTTTTATGATTTGTTAGCAATTCTTCTGAGTAATCTTCAGTATTTACAGCTGGACTTTCGTCAATAATCATAATTCCTAACTCATCAGCAAGATCCATAATTTCTTCAGCGTATGGATAATGCGATGTTCGATAAGCATTTGCTCCYATCCATTTAATCAAGTTGTAATCCCTGATAATTAGAGGCAAATCTAGGCCTTTTCCTCTTATATCTGAGTCTTCATGACGGCCAAAACCACGCAAATACATCGGTTTGTTGTTGATTTTCACACTTTTGGAGTCCCAAGAAARGACACGAATCCCGACTGGTAGTACATATTTATCGACCAAATTGCCAGAAGTGTCCAAAATTTGGACTTGAAGCGAGTACAAATAGCCGGGGTTGGGGTCCATTAAGTAAGGCCACCAAAAAGTGGCATTTTGGACGAATAGAGTGCCATTTAGGACTGTATCTGAGACGACTTCGTTGCCCTTTTTGTCAAAGAGAGACACTTTTGTGGTGACTTTATCCGAACCTTGGACCACAACCGAATAATTGACAAAACCATTAGCACCATCAATGTCTGTTGTGACTGTTATYTCYTCAATGTAGGTTMTTGGGGTGGTATAAAGGACCACAGGACGGTCAATTCCGGCATAATTAAAAAAATCAAAAGTATAACTTTGCTTGATACGACCACTGGAAAAATTTTGATGAAAACTTGAATTGTTTATTAATCAAGAAACCTTGAAAGTGTTTCTAAAGTTCCTTGCGGAATACTAGTCGCTACCAATGTGTTGTCAACACTGACCAAGACAATGTTTTCACTTTCAAATTTAAGAACTGAAGAAATTTCAGCTTGGAAAGGCAAATGACCAATATCGTGACTTGCCACCAATTTATCATTAATCCACTAAAACAAGAATTATTGATAAAAATTTAAAAAACTTATACAAAAAACTTACAACTTTTGCTCCTCTGCACACAGAAGAAAACCGAATCCAAACTTTGCGTTCATTCCATGATTTTGGTACAAAAAATTTTTTTTGGTACCAAGCAAGTCCAACATGATCTCTAAGATTTGCATCGGTACCCACATCGTTATAACTGGAGGGTACCGGCATTTTGTGCCCTTTAAAATTGACCTCTTGCCAATTTTTAACATGATCAGTAAAATTGGCTAAGGCAAAGTTCCATAAACCGTCCAAACTAACCAATTCTCGACTTTCAGAAGCTCGAGGATAAAGAATTCCAGTAGATTCAACATTACTCAAAGTAGGCAAAAGAAAATAAAAAGCTAATAACAACATTTCAAGTTTCTGAAGAAAGTCTAAAAAAATTAAAAAGAGAGAATAATAGTAGGTATACACTCACTTGAAAGGACAAGGTATAAAAATCAAATGTTCTATTTTTTACTTGAGCTCTATTTATTTAGAAAAAAAGACAATGATTTTACTTATCATTTACTTCTTTCTATTACTCATACAAGTATTTTGGTCTTTAAAAGAAAGCCGAAATATTTTGTATTGATTAAAACAAATGAAATCATCAGGTGAATCACTAGTGTCTGATAAGATTAGTCTTTTAAATTGTGGAGAAAAGTTACAAAAGCAAGAACAACAGCTCCAAAAAGTGCTCAAAGCTTTGATTACAGCTTATCAATCAAGACCAAAGAATAATTGTAGTTGGGCACTTTTTAAAAATAAAACTCAAAATGTAAAAAAATGTGTAATTCAGTGAACGTAATTACAATTCATCTTTTACATTTTTCTCAGCATTAATAATATACTCGTTAAGGTCATCAGGAACATCTGCATTGTCCAAATTTTGGGCTAAGGCCCAGTACCGTTTCCTTAAGAGATGAGCGCTGGCTTTAGGTTGGCGACTTCTTGTAAAAATACCTTTTTTATTACCACCAACTCTTGTGTACGCTACAACAAAATTTTAATAATTCAAATATTGATAATGTAGTTTTGATCGTACTTTGGGCCGTTTTGAAATCAGCAAAATTCCAAATCATTTCGCCAATAAAAAAACCTTCTTCTCTCATTTCATCAAAAGCTTGGAAGTATTGTGATAGAAAAGCGTCTTGATATTCTTCAGACCACGAATATGCTGGCAACTGGAATTTAAGGCTTAGTACCGCTTGGCATTGACTTGGTTAAAAATTTACCAAATGTAGACCTTCCTGAGTGTCAGCACCATATTCGGTCATTATGACTGGAATATTGTGAAGTTTATTCCATCTCGTTGCAACTTCTTTTACTTTGGAGGTGAGAACATCAATATCGCCTGTGTCAGAATACCACCCGTAGTATACATTGCAAGAAGCAATATCAATAAATTGTCCAGAATGTTCTGAATCTGGTAGTTGGTTATTGACCACAGTTACAGGTCGTGTGGTGTCCAAACTTTTAATATGGGAGATGACTTCTTTGTAGTATGCTTCTGAAGCATCGTATTGGGTCCTTGGCTCGTTTGCTGCCGACCAAATTATCACAGCTGGTCTATTTTTATCTCTTTGTATTAATTCAGTTAAAGATTTTTTATGATTTTCTAACAATGCGTCGGAGTAACCTTCAGTGTTAACAGCTGGACTTTCGTCAATAATCATAATCCCGAACTCATCAGCAA